AAATACGACGATTATTTAGTAATAGATATTTTGGTTAACATACAATTATAGTACACAAATTAAATTTCAAGCACGTGTTGAGCAAGAAGAGATACAAGTGAAAAAAGAAAACAAAGAAATGAGATGTGTAAGTGGTGGCACAAGGAGCCAATGGACACAACACAATCACAATTTGTATGGTGATTGATGGTGAACATACATTACCACTCCCAGAGTCTTCCACAACAAAAACAAATGGATCCCAATTGACAGTTTTGTTGGCTTGTATTTGTTGTTACGCAAACATAGAGAATATAATCCAAATTCGAAGATCTTGAGGTCACTTCTTGCCTACTAATATCAGCATCATTCATCTATTGGTTTCGGCTTAGTACTCGAATCCTGAATATTTGTAATTTTTGTTGCAGAAAACACTTGTTATGTTCGAGCGCTTACTTTCTATTAGTAGTCTTTTGTCATTTTCATCGACCCGTAATTTAGGTTAAAACTAAAATATGTCTCAATTAATGGCATAATTGACGTTAAGTATGATTATTGTTGAAGTGAGTTATCTAATTGAGATATGCACCGTGAATCGAAATTTTAGTTTTTCGACTTATGTATCGTATCATTTCTCATATTATAATACATTATAATGTTAATATATAATAAAATAAATATATTGAATATAATATTTAAATTAATTAGCATGTGTTCTATTTGTATATTGTACAAAATACAAATATTACTTATAAAATCACCAGTTTTTTGAGGGAGTTAAAAATTTAGATAATTTAAGTCATTATCATTTTTTTTAATTCTTATTACAAGTGTATTATTCCGATCCAAGGGTGACATATGATTAGTTTAAAAAATACATTTGAACCAATGTGAATCGATTAATATTATCAAAAAATATGAAAAAAGGCCAAATTTTTTGCCAATTATTACTAACATAAACACTATTGTAATCTAAAAATCTCAAACTTATATTGATAATAGGATAAATACGAACTAACTTCATTATATATATATATATATATATATATATATATCTTACTATATTAGAAACAAAAACCATACTTAAGAGAAAGTACCATTATTTGTCATGTAGCATTCCTACATCATATTTTTAAAATAAAATTTTATTTACACATCTCCTACACTTAAAAAGCAAATGCAGTCCAAATCCACCTCTACCTCCTATTTTGGCCAAAACCAAAAAAAAAAAAAACAAAAAAAAACCACGGGTTCATAAAAAACTCAAATCCTCATCCCCATCTCCACGACAATTGACTTCATAATCAATCCCTTCTCCACAATAAAAAAATAAATAAATTCCTCATCAATTAGCAATTGAGAATATGTGGTGAAATATACTCCTTTCCTATTAACATGTTCAATCTTTTCATTAGTGATTATCAACTATATCATAATCGGATAAAATTTCGACTTAAAAAAATAATCTCTTTACCTCTCCATATAAACACAAAGAAAAAAAAAATTTATCATTAATCTTGCTTCGGCCGTTGTGGTGGTGCCATTACAGGTATTAAAATTTAAATGATTTTATTTCCACAGATTATTTATTTGGCTTTTATTATTTTTTGTTTTTTCCGTTCAAGAATAGTGTTATTACTATTATTTTTACGCATCCATCCGTTACAGCTACCGTAGCCGTTGTTAGGCAATATGATGTGATTTCTTATATGGTTAGTTAGCCTAGAATTTTTGTATGATTTTAATTATGTTTGGATTGAATTGATTAATTGGATTTTTGTTACAAAGTGTGGTTTTTTAAATTTCTTTTTTATGTTTCATTCAATTAGAGTAGTTTTCTTTTTTTAATTATGGAGTCTCAATTTTTTTTCCGTATATGGTTAGTTATGAAGTGTGTTTTTTCTTTGTTTATTTGCTTTTGATTTTGTTTCATACTCCAGTTGACCAATTATTATTATTATTATTATTATTATTATTATTATTATTATTATTATTATTATTATTGTATTTTATTTGCAAACGAAGCACATTTTTTTTTTGTGTTCGGCCTTTCAATAATATACTTTTTTGGATTTGGTTTTTGGACTTTTTTTAGCTCCTCATCATATAAATAGTTCATGTCACTTCTTCTAACTAATTTATGGGGAAACCTTTTATGAAATTGAGGTGGAGAGTGAAGGAATGATGTTTCTACGTTTATTTCTGTTTTTATACATCATTTTTACCTACAGAAAAAAAATAAAATTTTCAATTTTTAATGGACTATCTTTTACTTTTTTTTTCTTTTATTTGCCATAGTGAGGTGAGTTCTTTTTTGCTATACCTTGAAACCTATGCAAATTTATATTATTTTCATTCTCATATTTGTGATCAACCAGTTTCAACAATTAACCAGTTTCAAAATCATATTTTTGATATTTTACTACCTATAAAATTTTGGAAGAAATAGCTCTAACAATTAAGCGTATATTCTTTGGAGGAAGCTTGCTACAAAGCTATTATAAATCTCCAAAACTAAGTATTGATATGGCACAACCAATGGAGAACATCAATAAATCATCTTACTAATATTTAAACTTATTAGGATACTTTTATATTTTGTCTAGCATTTTTTTCAAGACATATATTTGATCAAGTTTATTTATATTTAAGAAGTAACACTTATAAAACATTTCTAAAATCTTCAAACATTTCTAAAACGTACCGGGCCAAATAAAATTTCTTTTTATGCCAAATACAAACATTTCTATGATCACACTTATAAAAAATTTCTAAATTCTTCAAACATTTCTAAAATATATCTTGCCAAATACAAAATATTTTTTTTCATATACAAATATTTCTAAGATCTACAGATATATTGGGCCAGGGTCACGTATTGCGCGACCAGACATCACTAGTATATATATATATATATATATATATATATATATATATATATATATATATATAGACACACACACAGAAAGACATGTCTACTTCAGAAAGAAAAGTAATAGTAAAAACATCATAATTTCACTTTTATTTTAATATACTGATGTTATTTTAATTTGTTCTAATTCACTTAAAAAAGTCATGACCTTTTGTACTTTTTAGATCTCATTTGCAATTTTATAAATGAAAAATCGCAATATTTATTTGGATATGATGATTAAGAATTTTTTTTATTTTGTTGATCAAAGAGAGGGAGTTATAACATTAGTAGGTTTCAATCTGGCAAACAAAAATCATCCAAAGAAGAAATAAACTGTCAATTGGAAAAAATAGGATTAAATAGAAAGAGTTTTATAATGGAGTAGTGCATTGTGTGTATCATTTGTATCGTAAGATACGTATCGAATCGGCTAATACAAAAATGAATCGTACGATTCTTTTTCAATTACGATACGCTCAAGTGATAAGTATCAAATTTCTTTATTTTTATATCAGATCGTGCGATACGTATCGCGTATTGTACGATACTAACAACTAATAAACAGTAATATATTGATTCTCATTATACATTTTAGGAGATAAACTCACGTGAATGAACTTTCGGAGGTAGAAATTTCAAATAAAGTGTATTTTAAGCAGTGCATACAACACTATTTTTTTTTTTGTTCCTTATTTTTAAATACGGGTAAACTTACCAAAGATAATCTAATTTTTTCAAGTACATTAACCGAAAAAACGTTGTATGAGGACGTCTATCAAACAATAGGACAAGAAACAGTAGTGATGTGTAAAGATGAAATTAATTAGCTGGTTCGATTTTGATCAGTTGGGTGATGCCTTTAGACCAAAGTGTAAATATACTAAAACACCGTGAAATTAAAAAAAAAAATAGAATTCGCTATTGGATTAAGCCATTAAGATGGCATTATTACCTTGAAAATATTTATTAAATGGATTGCATGTTTAAAATCAGCAACTGAATTTGTACCCAAAAAAAAAAAATCTTAAATCAGCAACTGAATAATGCCATAGAAATAGAGAAGATGCTCTTTATTGGATCCTACTAAAAATCTCCTGCACCATTTATATACAATTATATTATATTTTGTATGCATATATTTAAATATTCCCTCCGTCCCATAATTATTGTCCAGTTTTACTAAAATAAAAGATTTTATTTTTGGTCAAACTTAACTATATTTTACCTTAAACAACCGGATATACCTCTACATAAGTAATTGTTTAACCACTAAGATTTTATGGATAATGTTTTTTACTAAGGACAAATGTGTAACTTGATCCATAAAAAGTCAAATTGGACAATAATTTTGGGACAAAATTTTTTGGGCAAAGTGGACAATAATTATGGGACGGAAGGAGTACTATCTAACTGTTTAAAATTTAACTAACATCCCAAGTCATTATTGGACGAACTTTGTTCTTTGGGGATCATGTGCCAATATTTTAGTAGATTGTATATAAAGTGGTTTAGAATTATAATACATGAAATCATTTGTCTTATATTCTCATTTGATGTTCTAGATTTTTTTTTTTAACTTAAATGAAGATCAGTGATCTTAACTTGCAATTCGAATATGTGATTTACTTTTTTTTTTTTTAAATATCACTAGGTTGTCATTCAATTCTCGAATATGTGATTTACTTATTAGAATAAAAATAGACGAGAGAGAATGTGATGCTTAACTGATGATAAGGTTCTAAATTATGTTTTAGAGGTCTAGAAATCTTTTCCTGTTTGGGTAGAGATCTATGGACTAAGGGTCTACAAAAAATGATATTACATCATTCATTGTATGAAAAGAAAAATATATAGTGATCGTCTCGTTGTGTTCTCGCCCATTTTTATTTCTTTTCAATTGTAACTGGAAAACATGGCCCTCAATACATGTTACATACAGACTAAAATGCATCACAATTATGAATTTTGAAGAAAACTTGACATCATTAGAAAATTTACAAGTCTTTTTAATAAAAAAGATTGAAATTCAATTATTCAAGGTAGTAAGAAAAGCCCAGAAAACAGTATGTTTTCTGGGATTCCATCATAAGATTCTGGAAATAAGGCCCTAAATTGTTTCAAGTTTCTTTTCACCAATGTTGAAACTGATGGTCCTCTCCTTCCACAAGCCGTCCGTGTCAATATAATTCTCTGAAAATGTCATTTCTCCACATGTTTTGGTGATCAATGTTGAAATACTTCTGGTACCACAACGTCCCTGCGCAGTTGACATAAAACTTCTCATGTTTCGGAGAACTTTGTAACCACCATTTTCTATTCGGATTAGCATTTTTTTCCTTACACCGGGTGTTTAATATACCGAAAAAAAAAAAAGAAATAACTGTAGGGCGTCGCAAAATTAAAGAAATGTTTTTAAACCGGTCCAAATACTACTACATGGGAAAAGAAGCGGTCATTCTTTTGGAAACACCTGAATGAAGAAAAACATTACCATTGGCGTTTCAGTGTCAACAAATATGGAACTCAATTGGTGTTCCCACTCGGGTGCACAGATCCCAGGCAGTTTGCTTTCATCTTCGTCTTTTGTCGAATCTTTCATCAATGGTTCTTCACACAACTCTTCCAGCGGAATCTCTCTTTCCCCATACTTATCCATTAAACTCTTGAAACTCTTTTCCAACCTCTGTGCCTGTTTTCTCAGAAGACATTTCAAAACAATGCCTTAGGTTTTTTTTTTTTTTCTTTCGTGACAATTGTATAAAGGGACATGTCACAATGTGGAGAAAAACATTATAAAGAGAGTGCCACTTTTGATACTGCAGGAGTGGACAAAGAACATCATTTCTGTTTCTTTTGGTTTCAACAACATAATACAATTCAATTTGATGTGCATTGGATTCAAAATATGGTCACATTATTAAGTTGCACATCAGTTGATGAATGAGTTCATGGGTGCTCATCTTTTATTTCCAGATTAATTATTTCAACTATTACACTTTCTTATACATACACACACACACACATATATATATATATATATATATATATATATATGAATGCAAATGGAGCAAGAAACAGAAATTTCTTCTGAGAGACACAGGAGAACAAAGAAAACCTTTGGCCATGGAGTATCTAGCTTTGCATTGGAGAGAACATGAATTCCAGGAGAAACTCGAGTAGCAGTGACGCCGTCTGACTTAGGCCGGTTGGTTATATAAAACATGGACAGAGAACCCAGATCTGCAATTATCAGATTACTCCCATTGTACTCCTCAACATTATTTTCTCTCACTAACTCATCCGCAAATTCTTCCACACTTTTCTTACTCTGCAACAAAACATAACGTATACATCAATAAAAAGAGCGCACCCCAAAAAAGAGAGTTTCCTTACGTCCCAAAATAAATGTCGTGTTTGTTGAACTAATGAAATATAGTACATCAAACATTACTCTTCTTTTGGGACGGATAAAGTATTCCGTATAGTAGGCAAAACCCGTGAAGCCCCTACTTAAGATAGGATATTATTGACAAATCATTTTAAGCAAACTAACAAACAGGAGAAAACTGATCATTAGGCTGGCTAATGTAGTTCATTTGTAGGGTTACCTGGAGGAAACGAAGAGGGAGTTGACCCCTGCTCTTCTTTCGTCGTGAAGGATCAGATGAAGAGGTGACCTCGCGGACATTGGTGAGGAAAGCGAGCTTGCCGAACACGTTACAAGCGAGCCAGGTGCCACCAGCAACTTCATCTCTACCACCAAGTATGACATGGTTTCCAAGATCATCATCATCATCCCACCATGAAAGAGGGGTGGTGGGACGCCGATGATACTCATCGCGGTTTAGGAGCAGGATCAAAGGATGCAGCGGGTGTGCTTTCCATATGAATACTCCGATACACATTTTCGTACACTTAAAAAGATTAGAGGAACAAAATAACTCCCCAACTTCCAACAATGATACTTACAGAAAGAAAAAAATGTGTTAGCATCTCCACGTCTCTTATCCTTATAGTTGATCAAATCCTCAACTTGCCGCCGCCTTTGAGGAACAGCAGTCAAGCACACCAGTGTACTAAGAAACTGTGGCTGCTGATGCTTTTCTAGCCAGATAACATGAAAATAATGCAACAATGACCATTTTCGGGCTCCCTGTTTGCGACATCTTATGCATTTTGGGAGTCCCACACAAATCAATCATTACATTCGCGGATACTTACTTTTCTTCTTTTCTTTTTTTCTTCCGTAAAAAAAATCATCAAGGTTTTAATTCCCTAAAACTAAACTCACTCTTTCAAGACTAACGAAGTTTCTATTGGGCAGTCATATTAAAGAACAAGTTACTAGAGCAGTACACTGAATACAGAGAACCAGCGATACTTAGTATTTCTCTATCATTGGAAGACCAATACAGTGCTGCAAGGTTTTGTAGGACAATTCAAACATAAAACGAGCCAGAATTAGCATAAAATAAGATCAGTGATTGAACTCCCTACGAATGTTTGATAACTACTCACACTATCACTAAAAGCAATACGGTATCACTCTGTGTAAGAACAGAGGATTCGATAACAACATCAACAAGTTAACTCAAATAATCTTGATTTTTTTTTATTTTTTATTTTTTTGCCCAAAAATTCAGATATCTGAGACTAAGACTATCAAGTATCAACAAAGCATGATCGCGACGGCCTATTTGATATCCTGTCCTTTTCAGATTGCAAAAATTTGTAGTACGATACTCTCTTTCTATTTTAAAGATAAACATTACTTTTATTTTGGGATGAACAAAGTATTATTTCAATCGTAATTACATAATAGGAAGTGTGATCTTGTATGTACATGCCAACAATGACACTTACAAATACATGTGTATATATAATGAAGAAAAACAAATCTTAAATTCAACTACCAAAGGCAGCACCAAGCTCAGAATTGCAGTCGGCAAGAACACTGACGTCTGGGTTCATTAGATCAAAATATATTGAAGTAAGAGATCTATATACTGTTTTGAGTTTCTTTAGCTAGGTTGAAAATAATGGTCTTCTCCTTCCACAAGCTGTCATTGTCAATATATTTCTCCGAAAATGTCCATTCTCCATTTGTTTTCACGATCAATGTGGAAGTACTTCTGGTACCATAACGTCCCTGAGCCATCAACATAAATTTCCCATGTTTAAGAGAATACCAAGGATGCAATGTTGGGCATCATCGTCATGCAAAGAATTTTTAAGGAATAGGTGCAAAGGCAAGAAAGAAAGAGCCAATATTGAAGGGAGAAATGAAGGAACATTACCAATGGCGTCTGAGTGTCCACAAATATAGAACTTAATTGGTATTCCCACTCTGGAGGATAGATGCGAGGTAGCTTGCTTTCATCATCTTTGGCTGAGTCTTTCATTAATGGTTCTTCACGCAATTCTTTCAGTGGAACCTCTCCTTCACCATATCTATCCATTATGCTTTTAAAGCTTTTTCTCAATCGTAGTGCCTGCAAGAAATTGATTTCCTTGTATACTTAAAACAATAAACATGTTGAAGTCTACTGACGATCGTAACTTAATTTAGAAACCACAAAAATTACAAAGGATATGGTTCATCTTGCAGCAGAGTAAGTTAAGAGACCAGGAAATTGACAGTCACAAACTAGCCACGCCGTCTGGACATTGAATCACACAGCAGTAAGGAAATAGACAAGTAGCCACTTTGATATATCTATAATTGAAATTGCCGTTATAACATACTCAGGTTGTGGCATGAGTCAACAGAGAACATCATATCTGTTTCTTTTGGATTTAGCTTCCTAATTAAGTTCAGTTTGATGTGCATAGGTTCAAAACAGTCCACTCAGGTTGCATATCAATTGAATCAGTTCGTGAACTTTAAGATTCTTTTGGACGTTGATATGCTAAGTGCTCCCATTCTCAACTTAATATTTGTTCATCCAATTTGGAAAGACTGTTGTGTAGATTATTTGCATATGTTGTTTTTTCTCATTCCCAAGCAAATGCAGCTACAAACAAAACTCTGTTCTAAGGGAGTGGTAGGGAAAAGGACACAAAACCTTTGGCCATGGTGTGTCTAACATTGCATTTGAGAGAACATGAATTCCGGGAGAAACTGGTGTAGCAGTTACGCCATCAGATTTCGGCCGGTTGGTAATGTAAAACATGGACATGGAACGAAGATCGGCTATAATCAGATTAAACCCGTTGTACTCCTCAACGCCATCTTCTTTCACCAATTCATCCGCAAATTCTTCCACACTTTTGTTGCTCTGCAACAAAACACAATCCTCAATTACACAAATCCCAACCAGGAAAACAAAGAAACCATGAACAGATGAATGAAAAGGGGGGGAAAAAAACTCACTTAGGCAATAAAACAAACAGCTTAAACTCATTCACAGAAAGCCAGAATTCAATCAGTAAACTTAGGAATCACAATAAACAACCAACACAGGCGCAAAAGAAGATCAAAGAAAAACTCAATTTAGGCACTAAAACAAACAGTTGTCTTGTTTATTATTATAACTTACCCGGAGAAAACGTAATGGGAGATCGCCCCTGCTCTTCTTGGGTTGCGAAGATTCAGAAGAGGAGGTGAGTTCCCGGACATTGGTGAGGAAAGCCAGCTTCCCGGTGGATGTACAAGCAAGCCAGGTCCCACCAGCAAGGTCATCTCGACCGCCAAGTATAATCGGATGGCCATGATGATCATCCCACCAAGAAAGCGGGGTGGTGGGACGGTTGTGATACTCGTCTCGGTTTGAGAGCAGAATCAATGGATGCAAAGGATGAGCTTTCCATATGAATACTCCGATACACATTTTGAGGTTTTCAAAATTTCGGTGTAAGAGTGATGGCCTGGATGATGGATCATGGATGGCTCCATCGTCTAGGATTTATATAATAAAAAGACGCGCCATCACTCTGTTTGTTTTGGTATTTTATTTTTTTAATGTCGACATCTTCATCCGTCCAGCGTTGGTTGGTTATCTGGTATTCTGTTGTTGCTTGTATACTTGATTATTGTGAAAGTATTAAAATATGCAAAAATGTAAATTGTCGGATGAGACAAATCTAATCTTATGTTTGACAAAGACTCGTTTTGACAATTTGGGATAAAAACCTACGACGAATGTGTTACCTGTTTTGGTGAGACTGGAAAAAGAGGTCTAAACACTGGACGGAATCCGGATTTGTTATTTGCCCATTGTTAAGTCAAAAACCATTCTCTGCAGTTTGAGCATGGTTGATAGTGGTTTTCATCACCTCCTGCTTTTTGTGATCAAGCATATTGAGAGCATATCTGGTGACTCAATGATCTTATCAACTGAGTACTTAAGCCACTTAAATAGAAACTTCAAGAATTATATACCCATACATTCAAGTGTTAAACTTCCCTGCCAAAGAGAGCCTTGAGAGTTTCAATACTATCCATTGAACTCTCTCACCAAGAGGCAAGAGCAGCTGCTCCAATGGAAAATTCCAACATTTTTTTCCCCCTTTTGATGGACAGTCATTGATCCACAAAAACAAAGAACTTCTTACTGGAAGCTCACAAATCTTTCTCGCACAAATGACATATATAACGGCACGCCTACTCTACTTTGAGTCATGACTAAACAAGAAGAACCTGAATCCAAACAATGTCACATATTTGCTTGTTCTTATTAGTCAGCTCTCATGGTCACTGTATAGTGTACTAGAATAGAAACAGTATAAACCAGCAAAACATTGGACTCTCCTTCAATCTAAAAAGTAACTTGAAATGGTAATATTACCAACTCGATGCAACCAAATGCATCATAGTGATTACTGTTGGGGTAACAGAATAAAGGAAAAAGGGACCTTAATCCCCAAGTATTTTATACAAGAAAGACCAAGTAAAAAAGGATCCTTGGTCCTGTTTTATTACCTCCTTCTACTTACATGGTGGTCTGATATTGAACGACCAAGTTATTATTAGTCAGCATTGATACATTGAAGATAGCCTAACAGTATTTACAAGTTCTCAAAACTAAAAATGTACATAACTGGGGGCACTTACACTTGAGCTGCCAGACACACATCTCTTACAGCTTGAGAGCAAGTTTTCTCATCCTCTTTGTCCAAGTTGCTGGATAGCAGTGAACAACTTTCGACGAGCCCCAATGGCATCGATGCCCATATCTTTCAGATCTTCGAAAGTAAGCAACGGTAGAGTTTCTTCATCAACTTCATGAATCTCAAATAAGTCAGCAAACTTACCGAAACCAAGTTCTTCCAACCATTCTCTGACACTACCTACATCACCATCATTGGATTTGGATACTTCATCGTTGTACCCGTTGTTGTATTGTGGAAATCTGGTATTCTCATTTGACCAAGTAGTCTCTGTACCCGAATCTGTAGGCCTCTGCAGAAGCTCCAAGCTGAAATTCTGCTCATCAGTCTCATCATCACGGGCTTCTTTGATAATTCCAGATGATTCGTTCTCCCACGAATCCATAGAGCCGTTACCACGGTAAATGTTTAAGCCAGTACCTGAAGAGCAGGCAACGAGCTGATCCGACCCATGCATTATCTCATTTTCACTGATGCTGCAACCAACTTCTGACTTCCAAGGACAGAAGAAACTGTGGAGGCTATTTGGGTCTCGTTTCCTTCGATTCATTACCCTGGATCGTCGGGTGACAACCACAAAATCGAGCTCAGATTTCTTTTCCTTTTTATTATCAAGAAAGGAGAATTCGGGCACTAGATTGGAAGAGTTAGGATCCCAGTTCTCGATGTTATGCTCGCCATTTCCAAAAATCCCTGCAGATTTGCTGGGGTCCAAGTTTGTGCTCTCAAATTGCTTAAGTTTAGGAATGTGGAGGCATTTTGATTCTTCTGCTTTATCAGAGAACTCACTTTTCCATTTCTTACGCCGTGTGTTTCCATTGTTGAGCTTCGAAATACCACATGTAAAAGCCGCAGAAAGGTCTCCTACCTCCCATAACCTCACACTAGGTCTCCTTATCCTCTTCGAATTCATGCTAAATACCACCATCTTTAGAAATCCTAAAATTAACACACTCCAGATTCCTGATCAAAGATAGAAAGGCATAATCTTACTAACAAGTACCAACAGACAAACTAATATACTCAAGAGTGTCAGATGCAAGATCAAACCACGAAGCCAAACCTTAAGAACAATAAATCATAGATACAGGCTACAGCATATGCAAAACAGAGGATCCCCAACCCAACCAAAAAAAAAAAAACTGAAATAACCACAACCTAGTTGTGCAACGAATTCAACCAGAGACTGAAATGAATTACCAGAACCATCACGGTTGAGGGAATTAAAATAGGTACAATATAAACTCACAGATTATCCAAAGTGGAACTCCCAAGGGAAAGAGATTTTCTTAAATCATCATGAAATTCATTGAATAGAGGTAACAGAGGGCAAAACCACTAAAACTTGTATGAAATTGACAACCGGGAAAGAATACAAGCAAGAAGCTAAAGATTAGAGCTTTCAACCGTATAAAGAAACAAAATCAGTAAGATCATCAAAATTGGTCTAAATTGACACCCCAGCAGCAAGCTCAGCTTCAGTTTCACTAACAATACAAGCAAAGAACCCAAAGTTTAGAGATATAAATCATTCTTACCTCTCAGAAATTGACCACTTTCCTTCTAATTGCAACTGAAAGTTCTCTAGAACTGTACTTTTTTCTTCAAGAAATGCAATCATGCGAAGAACCCAGTAACCACAGAAGCTTCAAGACTCAAAAAAACTGGAAAAAGGGACTTAAAGTTTCTCTCACTCAGAGCACTAAAAGCAAAGATACACTTGGCGCTGGCTAACTTCAGTTACAGAACGGTGGACAAATCTCTCATAGAAACTAGGGAAAGTTTTCAGAAAGAAAGAATGCAAAGAAAACCATCGCATTTGGACGCGTCTGAACCAAAAAAAAATAAAATCATAATGTAGTTTTTACTACTTTAATACTAAATGGTCGGTAGGCTGTCGTACTAAAAGGTAAAGGCAACCCATTTTTATGGCAGTGCTGATCTTTTTATAGTATATAGCACTATTAGAAACATGGGACTAAACAATACAAATGTCACCAGCCTGTGGGCTCTAAACTTTTGTTTATTAGTTTTTTTTTTTAATTAATAAAATAATAACGATCTCATCCTAGTATATTTTTTTACATTTTCAATACACTTTTTTACATTTTCAATATAAAAAATACCTAAAAATATATAAAAAAAACGAAACAAACATATCCTTAAATTCCCAGTACCCAAAGAACCGAATTTTCTAGAGGAGATAAAGGGGGTGTAAAGATTCATTGATATTTTGGAATTTTATAGTGAGGTATTTACAATGTGCACACCAAGAAAACAGTCCACTTACTCAATTTCATTAGCATAAATTAATCTTGAAGTCGTTATCTAAGCTCTCAATTACTCAGGGGACAATTGAAGATACTTACTGGGGGCCAAAAAAAGTTACTAATATTTTTTCTTTTTTAATGTATTTTTGGTCATCTCTATCCACTGTTTCGCTTTTGCAGAAGTAATAGAATATTCGGAATTCGAAAGAGACTTGACTCGGATGTTTTTCTTAGCGTGTGTTTTTAAGTGTATTTTGTATTTGAAATATTAAAAATTATATCGAAAATATAAGAAGACATGTTAAAATGGACGGTTATTATTATATTATTTTCGGAATCATTGAAAAAACAAACCAAACAGAGCCTAACTTTCTTTTTTTTTGTTTTGTTTTTTTTTTTGATAATTCTGTAATCCATACCAAAAATCCGAAAGCATTTTGTGACCATGTTATCTTATGTTTGACAATGACCTATCAATAATTTGGGATAATGTCGAATGATTCAGTCCTGGATATTGTCGGCTGAAAATCATCCATCTTCAAAATGGGTTTTTGCTGGGCTTTTGCCCATTGTAAAGGTCTAAAACTATTTTCAGCAGTTGAAACTTAAATGAGCTTCAACTTTCTGCCCCTAGGAAACGAAAAAATGTTGTACCCATTTGGTCTGCGTTCTTTTGTCTAGAACAGAATCAGGGAAGTGAAATCTCATTTCTGATAGAAAAATAATCATTCATTAAAGGAATTGTTTTTATTATTCTTGACATGTTTCAAATACGTATTGGATTATGCATTACTTGATTATTGATGCGTTTCTTTTTTTATGAACATGAGAATAAAAATTAAATTTAAAATAAATTATGAGAAAAAAATAAATTTTACACAATAATAATTAATGAAATAAATTCGCATTACCATATCAACGTTTCTACTTAAATCTCTATTGGAAAAAAAAATTATATCAAATAACCCTCAACAAATTAAGTAAAATATGGTTCAGAAAATTCCTAAACCCGTTTACTATTTAATTTAGTATTTTTAAAATAATAAATAAAAATATAACAATTATTTTGTCCTGAGTCTCCTGAATAAACTTTTGACGCGTCTAATCTAGAGCATTTTTTTTTATTTTCTTATTTGAGATTTGAGAAGATAAGTAAAGTAATTGGGTGAGATTAGGATTGTTTAGAATAGGTTATTTGATTACAAAGAAAAGTTAATTTTTTACCCAGTTACTTTTCACGAAACGCATTACTGGTAAGAACGAAATCAAATTGCCATTGCTCCCATTTCCATCACTGCGAAAAGGACGCAACCTTCATGTATCCATATTATGCGTGGAAGAAATTAATAGAAAGATCAATTTTATGCTCCTACTTTTAATATAAGTACAAGTAGGTGTCGTTCTCAACAAACATATATATATATATATTTGGAGAATATTTAGGTTATTACAACATGTAACTTCTAAATATTTTATTCTAATATTAGCATATGTCTATGATTTATGAAGAGTTATTAGTATTCCCTTTGGGATTACAAATTACAACACTAAAATTAGTTTAATTTGTAAATTATAATTAGGACTAGAAAGAAAACCTGTTAATTTTACGATTTCTTTTATCTAGTTACCAAACAATTATGAAAAATCAAATAAATGAGCAAGAGATGCACCGACAACACTTTCTTTATCGAAGCGGAAAATTGTAATACTCCAAAGGACAAAACGCACTTTTGGCCTCCAAAGTATGGGGGTACCAAGCTCGAGTCATCATGAATTTTTAATTGTCAAAAATAGTCCCTTAAAATATTTTTCTCATTAATTTTGGTCAAATTAACAGAATTTTTTTAAACTTAACAGGTGGGCCCACTCCTTTGAACCAGCCAAATTTTTTTTTCTTTTTTTATTTCTTTCATTAACATTCAATATTATTAATTTTTTGGTCTACCCATACTCATCTGCAGCCGCCGCCACCACCACCAATCCCGGCCGTCGCGTCAACCTCCGCTTCCTCAAATCGAGTGTACAATTAAACTAGGGATTAAGGCGGCTTTGCAAGTCATGCTGGATTCGAGTCCCCGGAGAAGAAAACCACCGAACTGATTCTGGGACTATACTTGTGCGCGGAGGGGCGGGCCCAGTTCCTCAACCACGCAGCCAGAGTAGCGGTCGGGAGCTGGAGAATACTGAAGGGGTCTCCGACGGTGGATGATCGAGCGATGTTGATTCTTTCGTTGATTTCAAAATTCTCAGGGACTAATGGGATTCTACTGGAGATGTTACGGGTTGGGGAGCTGGCAAAGCTCTGCTTGGTGATTCAATCAAATCGGGAGTCGCATTTGAAGGATAAAATAGTGGAAAGGAAAAGCATGGTTTAGACTTATGACCTCAAGCCCAGATCTACTGGAGATGTTACGGGTTGGGGAGCTGGCAAAGCTCTGCTTGGTGATTCAATCAAATCGGGAGTCGCATTTGAAGGATAAAATAGTGGAAAGGAAAAGCATGGTTTAGACTTATAACCTCAAGCCCAGATCGGGGGATCAAATAGAGAAGCAAAACCCCACGACCATAGAGCAAAATGAAATTTTACTACTCATTAAACATCTCAAAAGTTGCCCCGTTTCCCCATCCACCAGGGATTGTCTTGGACTTGGTCCGTTGCCAACTAGTCCGGTGGACGTTAACATGACTGAGGAGACACGAAAAGGACCGAGGAAAACAATGATGTGGTTGACCACTGGGTAAGCTGCTTGCTTGGGACCTCTTGTGGCAACCGATCACTATCATCTCATAAAAAACTGTATGTATACTCTTGGTGCAACCATGATAATGGCGGGATTAACGTTTACCATGATCGCCTTGATGTTTGTTGAAACAGTAGAGAAGATGAATACGATTAGGGGAATGGTAAAATTACCATTTTTCGCGATCGTTTTGGTTTGTTCAGGGTTCATAGGGTTCCATTCACTTGAAGACCATTCTCTTGCTTTATGATAGTGTGCCGTTGTTGCTTTGTTTCTATTTGTTGGTTGTTTCATTGCTGTGAATTAGTGTTGTTTTTGTAAGGTGGCGATTCTGCTAGAGAAACTATTTTCTTTGAAATGTTTTACTGGGTGCCGACAAAAAAAAAAAAATAAAATTAGTAGATTTCAAGTTACATTTTATAATTTGGCATATTTGATACATTTTATACATATAATAATTCAATGATATTGTAGTTATAAGTTCTATAATGGTTACACATAGAAGTACAGATACATATCTTCATCATTGATATAATATGACATATAAAGTTTATTGCAACAATCGAGTTGTCTATATTCTTTTGTGTAAATATATTGTCTATATACTAGACTTATTCTCGTGCGTTGCACGGATTATGTTACATGTGCAAAACTATAAAATTATGATCACTTGAGCCGATCGTTATCATTATAATATGATAAAGTTTGTGTCGAGTTTAGTGATATAATAATTCTTATCCGTATTTTCTTGTATAAATTATATTAATATGTTTTTTTTTTAATCAATACGTAACTTCTCCTCGCATGAGAAGCTCTCAATCAAGCATCCACAATACTAATTGCAATTAGATGGTGATATGCTTTTTTTTTTTTTTAATCGAAATCGAAAGAGAATGTGAAAGTCTACAAATGAAAACGTTATAGACACTCTTTTTGTTGGGTTTTAATTTTCAAAAGAATGCAATTAATTAGTGAGCCCCCACTCTTTAATCTTCTGCCAAACCAGTTCGTTTTTTTCCCCACTTCATTCCTTCCCCTAAGCATACGCAATCCGTTGACCTGTTTAGTCAAACTATCTTATTCCACATCGCATACAGTACGCCGCAATCCATCAGATCCCCACCCCCACCTTCAACCAATTAGATGAACATTTTTTTCCCTTTCTCAAAACGCGCTGATCATCAGTTCATATAATAATCAAATCTTGATTCAGAATCCAGATTACGTCAAATTTAAAAAATTCCACCCAGACATAATTGAAAAGAATTCCGCTTCACTGAAAATTTTCTCAACTTTCCGGCGATGGATTTTTGGCAAAAAGCTCGAAACCTCGCCGAGGAAGCGGCGAAACGGTCTCAGGAGCTGACGAACGGAATCACCGTTCCGACGAAACTGTCCGACGTCGTTTCCGAAGCTTCGAAGCGTTCCATTGAGATCGCCACTGAGGCGTCGAGGAAGTCTAAGGAGATTGCCGCCGAGGCACTCAAACGCGCTGACCAGATCAAGTCTCAGCTCCCTCCCGCAGCCGTGGCATTCTCCAGCCTCGTCGATAACAATTCTCCGCCTGCGGCTCCGGAGGTTTCTGAGGCTGATCTGGAGAAGTTTGGTGTCACGGATGACTTGAGAGAGTTTGTTAAGGAGATCACTTTGAATACATTCCGAGATTTTCCCCTTGAAGGTGAGCTTTTGCGGTTTTCTTTGTGATTGTTTAAGTTTATGTTAGTGATTGGGTGAACCGATGGAAAATTGACAATGTGGATTGACACACCGTTACTCACAGAATTAAAGTTTTGGTATTGTTGGATGACATAATGGGATGTGAAATACAGTAGAATAAGTATGAAGAAAGAGATGTGAGAACATCTTTTGATGAATCCTAAATTTTCAGTTCAAATTTCTGGTCGCTATTCTATTTGCAGTGCGGAAGGAAAATGTTGGGGGTTAAAAGTTTTTGAATAAGTGCGAAGAATTTAAGAAAGAGATGGCGTTATATGTGTTCCCCGAAAGTGTAGTTGGTTGTAAATTAAGTGACCAGAGCAAAGTTTTTATTAATTTAAGTGTTTCATGATTAGGCATGTGAAAGCAATCAATTAACTTTTGTTTAGAAGACATCATATGGAGGCACAGGGGCAAGCACCTCAAGTTGGTTAAGGTGGAAGTTAGGTGTAAAAGGGTTTATCTTTGTCACTAGTCGGTGTTTTTGATGGTTCTAGTCTTCTAGATTCTGGGGTTAAGTTATGTAGTCTTTATTAGCATTTCCATTGTATACTTTTCGCTTTGATTCTGAATTTGCTAGTTACATTGTTGGGCTAAACTTGTTAATTGTTGATGTTTCTCTTTGTCCTAATCAAATATATAGCGATGTGAACTTTCTTCTCTTTTTCTGAACATGTAACCGGACTAATAATTGGGTCAACCTTGCAGATGTTTCTGAAGTTTCTGATGTTCCGGCAGTATCAAATGTGAGACAGGATCTTACTGAATGGCAAGAGAAGCATGCAAAACTTGTTTTGGCGACTGTAAAGGTTAGATCCAATGTCCATGTGTTTCCAGACTTGATATACCAACCCCACATTGGCTTGTTGTTGTTTTTGTGGTGTTGCTTTTGTCATTGCTGGTATGAAGAAAAACTGCAAATAAGGACAATATCATCATCCGCAAAAGTCAAACTTTCTAGCTCACATCCACTTTCTACCGGCTAAGAATGTCCTACCGTAAAACATAGTCAGTCCATGATAAATTGATAATGTTGCTTTGGTGATCTTTTGTCCAGAATAAAGAGCGATAAGCTTTAGAAGCTTTAACTCAATATTAAGCATAATTAGGTTCACTTCATGCAAAGTCTTTGTGTTCTCCTTAGCTAGTTGAGGAGCTTGGTGAACTGTTGTGTTGGTTTGGTTCCTTTGTTTCCCCAGTTTGCACGGTGTATGGTGTTTACCATCTCATCCCACTTGTTCCTATTCTGTCCTAATACCCTGTAAAAGCTCTAGGAGTTGAAATTCTTGGAGAACTAGTTCTTATTTAACTGCGTAGTGCGTTTTGAACCCATGTATCCTCCCTCCTATATTCCTTTGGAATCAATCAGTCATAGAATCATGATCATATGCTATTTTTAGGAATATCTTTGCTTGGATAGATGGACCTATGAAGATTAACTTTTTGGTGGCTCTGAAATAAGAATTGGTAGAGGCTTCTCTCTTGTTTCTGTTACTTGGTTTAAATATTGGGTTCTCCTGAGAGCTTGTCTCTTCTCTTTATGTCAATTGGTAATATTTGCATGTTCATTGATTTCATTTTGCTTGCAAAAAAGTTATATCTTGTAAACTGGCTTCTCTGCCTTGTGCTTACGTCTGTGCTTGATGGCCAGATAGTGTTTGTAATTTTCATGTAGTGAAGTAGATCAAATTTTTTGTATGTACATCTTTCTTTGTACTGCTCAAGGGTTAAAAATTCTGTGTGAATTTTCCGGCTCTGCCCATTTTGCTATTATTTGCTTTTGCTAATGTGTTTGTGTTACAGGAGATTAAGAAGTTAAGGTACGAATTATGTCCAAGGGTGATGAAGGAGAGGAAGTTCTGGCGGATCTACTTCATGCTTGTTAATAGTCATGTGGACCCGTAAGTTACTTTTCCCCCTTAATAGAAGCTTTAGGTCTCAGTGCGGCAGAAATGTATTAGCTCATTCAAACTGGTAGTCTTCAGCCAGTTTTATGATCTCAATATAAAATGATACTTTCTTCATAAAATACCGTTTGGGCCTCAGTTTAGGGAACGAAAAGTGTTGTTGGACTTCTTTAGCATACCGAGATACCAAAATGTAGATGTTGGGATATCCTATGTAGATGTTACAAAGCTAAGAGTTGTTCGTGAGTTCCAGAGTTCATATAGTTATTTCAAGTGTTTACTTTTTGTTTGTTCTTCTCCGTTTGGGTGATAATGATTACATTATCAGAATGACTGTCATTAGTGTGTCAGGATAAGTTTGGTCCTTAATGTACATTGACTCTCTTTCATATAGTTCCTCTATCTCAGTTTTAAGGATCATATTGTGTTTCTATCTGGGATAACGTTGTGATAAGGATCTATCAAAAATTTTAAATTAAAAGAAACGATTAGTCTTTTGGCCTACAAAAAAAAGTAAGATGAGCCTAGTTTATGCCTTTCACAGGGAATTTATTTTTATATAGTACCAATTATATGGAATAGAAGATGGAATAGAAGCACATTTGCCGATACTCTGCCTAATATTTTAAGCATGCATATCGAGCTTGAGCTCTTCTATTCCTCTTTTAGTTTTCTTCCCATGAACCATTGATCTGTTGTCATTCACTTCAGGATTTAGTATGTCAGGAAATATTGTAATTGTAGGATTTTAGGACTGTCAAACAAGTCAGTTGAGGAAATATTGGGACTTAACGATTTTCAAACAGCAGTTCAATAAATGATGCAATTTTACTTGATAGGACTGATCACATTTTAGGTTTAGTCATGCTCTTCCTTATCTTTCTCTCGTTAATGCTTACTTAACTGTATTCTGATTGATCTTTGTTAACTGTTACGACTTACAACCTTAAATAGGTATGAAAAGCGATATGTGGAAGAGCAGAAATTAAAGGCTACAGAAGAGTTGAAAGAAAATCAAGCGAATGAAAAGCCATTGGCCGGAACAAGTTCTGGAGCTGCTGGGGCGGTAACAAACCAGAAAAGTAAGACTGCAACGTCTGAGCAAGATCTGGATGTATTTCTCCTGGGAGATGCTGGGGACAGTGACGATGGCCCAGGTATGTGATTGATGCACATTCTGCAAGAATTTTTACTGGTTATCACCTATGCTTCTTTTGACTGTAGCTATATACTTTCTTGCCTTGATCGTTTGGTGGCCATGGGGTTTAGTTAAGGTTTGGATCTAATGCTTTGAATTTCATAATCATTTGCTGGCTTAATCTTGGTCAACTGCAAATTGTACAATTCATACGAAGTATTTCCAGTTATCACGATTTTTCTTCTGGTCTTGAGCTTTGAATACAATAAATCCTTTAATTGAGTTAGCTATTCATGCTCTTATAGAGTCACTTGCACCATGAGATGACATTTCGCTTTCTAAATCTTTCTTTTGTCCTGGGATATTGCGAAACCACTCCATCCCAGAGCCACCTATGTTATCAGCTCTGCAAGCTGTAGAGATATATTATGTTGATGAACACTAATAGTTCTCTTTTGTTTCTTAGATGATGGAGATGATGATGGCTTTGATGATGATTTTGACAAGATATAGACTGGTGAGCTTGGAAACATTTCTCTTTCTGGTACTCATTTCCTGCCCTGATGTTTTCTGTTTTATGTTATTTGTCCTTCCGAATTATCCTTACGTTCTGTATCCTCCCAACCAACAACACTAATTTTCAGGTGGCAACAAGATTGGGTGTGGTGAACTGTGATGCTGCTCTTGACTTGGAATGATTTCGGATTCATAGTTGTTTAATTAGTTTGGGTTAGATACTTGAGAAATGTGCCCATCCTATTTAAACATGGCAAAATAGAGGAAGATTGAGCCCAGCAATTCTTTCAATCATATCGTGTAATCCATAACTGTGATCTTATGATATAGTTCATGAGCTGATTGTATGGAAAGAAACGAATTCTAATGCCATGTATATGTAGATTAATGAATGTGAAATATATAGAACAGAAGTAATCAGGAATTTCTGCGGCAAGAGGACTTGGGAATCAAACCAGCCAAAGTTTTGGATTCTTATAATTATTGTTCTAAAATTGAAAGGTTAACTGAAATACTAGTAAACTTTAAGCGTTGTTTCATTTCTTACGAATACTTTGCATTATTCTCTTATGAAAAGGATGTTTGCTTTGCATTTTACTCTAAATATCAACAATTTTTCAACTCCAGAATACTTATTAAAAATTTAAATCTTAGTTAGAATAAGATTCAGTATCATGAGTTGAGCTAAAAGTAGCAGGAAAAAAAGAATGAGATATGAAAAGAGACAAACCTGAAAGCTCCACTGGAGATGACTAAGAGATCTAATCTAACAAGTTTTAATAAAATTAACGGTATCATATTGAATAACTTAATTCTCCCTATTATCGTATATATAAAACACAAATTAAAACTAAGTTCGTTTAAGTTGTGCTTTGTAAATCAAACAGAGGAAATCAGTGATAATTTTTTTTTGGGTTTTTTTTTTTTTTTTTTTTTTTGATTTGGTGCCAAGATATAGGTGTGTTTTGCATTCTACTTGTACCCAAGCAGTTTGATACAAATCGTAACATTTTTCCAATTCATCTCTTACAAGAACGTATTATACAAGACAATCTAATAGTATTATAAAAGATCCAATATAATTCCTCCACACACACACACACACACACACACACAATACCTTCTTCTTTTTCAATTTAATAATTGAAACCCCCATGTTTATAAGAATCATTGCCGACAAATTTGGGCACTCTGTCAGCACATTTCATAGCTGCCAAATGCCAAAATAATCACTAGATTTGGCAACTTTCATTCTCTTCAGGAATCATCATCTTCAGACTTTTCCAATGATTGGACCTTTAATTACAACTTATGTATCAATGTTCCTTCCTTTTATCACTGATACGTTGATAATTGATGAATGCTTTCTCATCCCATTACCAGTTTTTCTGCATTTTTCCCAACCCACATTGTCACATGCACTGATGCCCCCTATCTGTTCACGACGCCATCGGAAATTAGTGAAGTCATCAATAACCACGACAATCATTTTGGGACGAAATAATAAATTTATGAAGGGACGGACCTAGAGGGGAGCAAAGGGGGTCTGTCGACCATGCGGTCGGCAAATTTTTCTAAAACATATTTTAGATTTTTTATATATTTTTCCGAAACAAAAAATTCTAGTTATAGTCAATCCTGCGAATGTTCATGGCTGGTTCCGTCACCGATTATGATCACTTAAACTTATTTCCTACAATTTTACATGTACCCACGTAAGATCTGATATTAACTCCCTGGTACAGAATTTTGGTCACAACTCAGTCGCTATATGAAAGTCAACTTTGATTCTGTCAACTGAACTAATCTGTTTATCCAAATATCCTTCCCTTCCTTGATCATTAGTTTTCAAAGAACGTGTTACAGACTTTATTGTACATTAATATACTAGAATTATTATTAGATAGGAGAAGCTTAAAATTCTGAAAATTCCAAAAATTATGAAAGATTTGGAAGATGTTAAAACTTAACACACTTTACTGAAAATACAATAGAAGATGCCAATTGATGCAAAACAAGGATATGTTTACTCTTGCTCTTCTAAAATTATTATCCGACCAATAAGATAATTATTTGAGACGTAAGGGGTACTATCAAATATTTTTGTTTTGAAGTTATGGATTTGTGTTCGTCTCTAAATTTTAAATTGCCTTTCCTTTTTACCATTTTAGTGTAGTTTCTTTTTATTTTATACTTAAAAATTTAGATTCTAACTAAAACTTAAAGCAGATGCAAACAACTGCATTTTGTGATTTACAGCACTACTTATCCTTGCCTCTTCGTAATAATAATTTTGTTTATTAAATTATTTTAGCATACAATATATATATATATATATATATTTTTCGTTTCAAAATGATGCAATTATTAGTAATATTAATGTGTAACAACCATGATAATTATTTGTAAGAGGAAAATATTATATTAGTTTTAAGATGGAAGAAAATGCTGTATATAACTAACAAATTAAAGAGTATTAGACCATACAACCTAAATAAATGATTAGTTTCTTGCTTGTAAGCATGGAGCCAAATTGTCTGATCAACCGTCACAATTAATTCTTATTGAGGAGATAAGACAGTTTGATTACCTCTTTTTTCCTAACCCCAATCATTTTCATTATTTATCGTGCGTCAAATAAAATTTCCATTTTATGCTAAACGAATCAAAGAGGATGATCCTGAACCTCCCCATAATTAAATCTTTTTTCCCATTTTTAGTTCAAAAAATATGTGGATGCCTGCAAATTGAATTATCATCTTCTTTATTTTATTCGAGTTGTAAGACAATGAGGTTGTCGGTTGCCTCATTCATCCCTTCCACGAGGACGTCCATCTTGGTTTAGTTTAGCCTGTTTTTATAACCTTAATACATTGTCTCTAAAGAACTATTTGTTTACAAGCTTTCATTTAAACAAAAATATTGTGGATGTCTGTATTTCATAGCATCACCATGTTATGAAGTAGTTGTACTTGGACATTTTTTTCACACAATTAGACTTGGTCTTTTTAAGAATAAAAATTCATAATTCCATGAACTGTTCATACGTAAGCCGTGAGCACATAATTATGTACTAATATAATTGAATAAACTAAAACAAAAATACTCTCTCCGGGCTTTATTATAAAGGATTTTGATTTCGTCCTAAGTTTAACCTAAGATGTCTTTTTAATTAGAATAAAAATCTTAAAAACATTCTATAACATTTAGGAGAATACAACGAATGTGAAAAAGTATTTTCAAGATTTTTTTTTTCCAATTAAAAAGACATCTTAGATGAAACCTAAGATGAAATCAAAATGCATAATAATAAGGACCGGAGGGAGTTCATTTTAGTGTTGGGGCCATGTTTGGGAAAAGAAACAAAAAAATTATGAATTAGATTAAACATTTCCGGAATAAGTAGTAAGTTAATTTGTATTATTTATATTTTGTATGACAGTTTCAGTTTATTTTATTAAGAGGTTCAAGTTTGTTTTTTTTTTTTATCAATTATATTGAAATTAAAAAACATTCAATTCAGTAATTTTAAACAACAAATGGTGTTATAGTAATTCATATGCATGCATCGTGTAGTTTATTATAGACACAAGAGGTACATCATACATCAAAACAATAATTGGTCACGAATAAGTCACCAACCAAACAAGACGTGATGGATCTCTTAATGACGTTTTCTATAATGTTGATGTTAATCGCGTAGATAAAAAAAAAAAAATCATATATAATTTTTTATAATGTTTCTCATAACAAGTGCATCGAAAATAATTTGTAAAATTGCTTCCGTAGGAGAAATTTATTAAATCACGAAACTAACTAAATTAATGGCACCAAAGTAAAGTTTCTATGTTGTGCCTAACTAACCGTGCTAGTACTATTGATTAGAAAGTGTTTTATAGTGAAAAATATATTTGTCAAGATGAATGGAATGGTAACTTGCAAACGATAGACTTTTTTTTTCACATGACGAATTTGCAATATGATTTTTTTTTCCCCTCAAATACTTCATGACAACGTGTGTATGTTATAGTCTCTACTCTCTACCCATTCAAATTTTAACACAAAACCGTATTAACATTATCTTATTCCAGTAAACCGACAGAAATGAACTGATATTTAACTTAAACCTATGTACTCAAGTTCAAACAAATGTTTTTTCATATGAAAGGCCTTGGAATATGTTTTATTGTTTCAAAACACATGTTCCACCTTTCTCAGGACGGAGCTACATACAAGCCAGATGGGATTATTGTCCCAGCTGAATTTTTATTTTTATTTTTTTGCTTAATAATCCTCTAAAATTTAAAATTTTTTTTTAAAATATAGTTTTTGCCTCACCTAAATTAAAAATGTTAAGGCCAAACATGTTAAATTACAAATTTTGAAAATCTTGCCCCACTATATGTTTGGGGATTGACTCCACCCCCGTCAGTAACACCAAAGACTTAATTAGTTTGTGGTGATTGGTAATTAAAAAAAAAAAATGGTAAGTTGATGAGAAGAACCCAACAAACAGGTTTTTCGTAGTTATGAAAAACTCTCTAATCCTCTCGATTGAATAAACGATCAGTAATTAATTTAAAATAAATTATAATAATTGTTGCATAATTAAAATTTATGATCAAACGAATTCAATGATTATCTAAACCTTTCTGTCAACATGTCAATAATCATTTCATTTGACAACGGAATTTGATCTCGATAGATACTGACATAAAGTATACAGGCTGCGAATTTGCAGTTTGCAGATTGATTGGGCAAAAAGCTTATTTAGTTGAAGAAGAAGAAGCCAGGAAGCTGCATGTATATTCAAAATGTCAGTTGACATTTTGATATTGACATTCTAATTAATACTTCAATGAATGCACTTTCATACTACTTAATTTGGTAGACTAGCATTTCTTTTAATTAAAATTAATCTCAATGAACCAGATTAAATTATGATTGAAATAAAAGGGAGGCTTCTCATTTGACATACATGCATAGAACATCCCTAAATTAATCCTTGATAAATTAATAATCTCTATTAAATAATATTTTTATCCAATCCTAATTCGGGACCAGTATAAAATATGAAAAATCTTGATTAATTAATAAGATAATAATTTTTAAAGAATTTTTCATGTAAATATAATCCTCACGATTTTATCATAAATTACTAAATACATAAAATAAAATTTTAGATTTTACGATAAGACTAGTTTATCAGTCCGAGCAGTTGCCCGGGCACTGTTTAACATGTTTAAAAAAAAAGTATGTAGAATACAAAAAAAAAAAAAAGCATTTTCTTATGATAAAGAAAATTTACAGGATAAAAATCAAAAGATAAAATAACGTCAATCCTTTTAACCCGACTGTCAATTTTTATTCTAATATTTACTTTTAAATATAGATGCATAAAATTAATCGACCATAAAATTAAATTAATCTATGATAATTTTAAATATATGCATAAAATTATGGAATTAGTCCGATTGTCAATTTTTATTCTAATTTTTACTTCCAAAAATAGATGCCTAAATTTAATTGACCTATAAAATTAAATTAATCT